CTGGTTCTTGTTTTTCTGCTGCAGCGGCTGAATTTTCGATGGAGGTGGAACTGTTTAAGCCCGTGTGCTTAGTTTTAGGTGCACGTTAAAGGACTTCAGGTGAAGCCCTCCAGTTCGGTGCCCCTCATTATCATAGTTTGATTTTCGAAGCTTAAACTCTAGATATTATTATTATTAAACGTTTTTTGTGCCATCATAGTTTTGTGAAATGTATTTGTGTACGTTTTACAATCGCAACTTTATAGTTAGGATCTTCATTAGGTGTTATTTTAAGCATTGATGGTAGTAAGCATCAATCTTTTTGCCGCTCGCTGTAAGAGCTGAAAACACTGATACTATCATTTTGTCTATAGTTCTCTATTGCGTGTTTTCGATGCTGCAAAGCTACTCATTCGGTTTGGAGTTGCGATAATCAGATAAAATGATGAAAGCGTGTCATACTAGAGTTGTTTCATGAATAATGATTTCTTGACCATCAGAATATATGCCCAAAACACAAGGTCCGTCCCGGGACTAATAAACCATTACTCAATTTCGGGTCGAGACATTCGAAAGTATTGCTTCGACGGGTATTGCTTTCAATTGCAAGCAGCGTTGATAAGATCATGCTTTCTCGAAATGCAGATCAGCTTTCTTAAACAAGCAGAGCGAGAAAACTGCGCTGGGTATTTGCACCACGTGGTAGCCGCGGTTTGCAATGAGCTGGTACGCGTTATCGAACAAAGCAAAGAAACTATAGGGAAACGGTAAGAAGGTGATTGACATGATGATTGATATGTGGGGTTTAACGACCCAAAACCACCATATGATTATGAGAGACTCCGTAGTGGAGGGCTCCGGAAATTTCGACCACCTGGGGTTCGTTAACGTGCACCCATATCTGAGCACACGGGCCTACAACATTTCCGCCTCCATCGGAAATGCAGCTGCCGCAGCCGTGATTCGAACCCGCGACCTGCGGGTCAGCAGCTGAGTACCTTAGCCACTAGACCACCGCGGCGGGGAAGAAGGTGATTGACAAGCACAGGCTCGCGGTGATCCCGTATGTACATGGCCTCTCTCAAGGGTTAATTATTAAAGAGGCACAGTATGAAGTAGGCATTGTTTTTTCAGCGCCCGCTTGCCTGCTGAAGGTTTGCAGTTCGGCGAACCAAAAGAAAGGAAGCGCTAGCACGACGCTAGAAAGCGAGTGCAATGTTCAGCACGAGAATCAATATTTCAGTAAGACAGTAAGTTGGGCCAGTTGGTTGAAATTTATCGTAAACTTGTTTACAGCAAAACACCAGAAACACAGAAAAAGAAGGAGCAAAATAGAAAGAATACGGCGCCGTCTGTTATTTCTCTCTTGCTCCTTTCTTGTCTGTGTTTCTGGTGTTGCGCTGTAAACAAGTTCACGATGAATCAATATTTGCCATGCAAGGTAGCCACAGTTTATCAGGTTCGGTTAGCATGCGAGAAATGATGTATCGGGGAAAACGGCAAATGAGTTCAAGTCAGACTGAGGGAACAGAAGCGATCACTTCCTGATACTCCAGGCTTACATTCGCCTGTGCCCTGCTGAATCTGTTCTGAACCCGTCCTTAATGACGCAACGGTTGCTTTGAGTGAAAATACAGTCATAGGCCCTAACACAAGTGATAAGAAAAGAAAATTACCTACCCGTAAGTGTCTCTCCTTAGAAGGAAAGCGGTAGGATAGACAGCTACGGGTCGGCAGTTGAGATAACAGGTCGTAAGATAATAGAGACCTTCCGCATCTGGAGAAAGGAAGACGGGTGTATCAGCGCTCCCTGTATCAGTATGTCAGGCAAAGAATCGCAATGCTATTCACGTGCTACAGCTAATTATGCGGCTGTGATGGTTCGCTTGAAATCCCTAACGGCTGTTGTTTCCTGGTTACAGTAATGTTGGATGGCAGTGACATATAATCCTTGATGTGGTTATTTTCCTGGTTATACTGCTGTTCGATGGCAGTGACACATCATCTTCGTCGTGGTTATTTAAGGCTTAAACATTTTTTTGTTAAACTAGTTATGAGTCTGCGCCTACTTAAAGTTTCTTCATTTTTTTCCGACAGCACAGTTTATTCTGAATCGCTTTTTTGTTTCTTTGTTTTGAAGAAGAAGCATTCTGTTTCATATTATATACAGAGATAACAAACGTACACTTGTAAGACTTGTATCCAAAGGCTAGTTGTAGGGAAGGAAGAAAGCAGACAAAGGGAGAAGGCAGGGAGGTTAACCAGAAAGACATCCGGTTGGCTACCCTGCAGTGGGGGATTTATTAAGAAGGGGACAAGAAAGATGGAGAGAAGCAGAAAAAGGGAAAGACAAACAGTAAATTCACTGCAGCGTATATAAATTCACCGTGAGTCAGAGGCGTTTACACAAACCCGTCGTCTTCAGAAAACACAAAAGGAATTTCCCTGCCTAGCGGACTGTCGAGGGATGTGGATGGTGCTGCAATAGCACCTGTACATAAAGTGGCCGATCATTCAGTCACCGCAATGAAGGCTAGTTGTAGGTCCGATAACAAAGTATACATCGGAAATCCTAGCATGGCATACAGTACAGAGTAAATACAGCCACTGGATGTATTTCAAAAGGTACCATATTTAAGCAAAATGTAGCAAAAGTAACCACGTAATTTGTTATTTTCGCTTCCTTTCTAGCAAAAGTTAACAAGACTGGTATGAAGAACAGACTCCTTTTTATTGACTAATGAATAAAATCATTGAGTATGTAAAATTGGAAGTTTTAAATGTACCCAGCAAATAGCCATGGCGCTAACTAGAAATGTTGGTCTCCAAACTTGTCGCAAAGTAGTCAATGCGGTGCGAAGTAGCCACCAACGACAACCCTAAATTGACCTCTTACAAACGTACTTACTTCGGAACGCTGATTACTTCAAAATATTGTGCCCCACCATTACGCCCAGAAGTCCATTCTTACATAAAGACAGCCATCAGGAGAGAGAGAGAGAGAGAGAGAGAGCACTGCTCACGTGTCACTTAATGCGGAGATGCAAGGCGCAGTGGGACCCTGCAGCCGGCTATTTTCTGTAAAACTGCATAAATGTGCGACTACTGAAACAGCAGTAAGTGAAACTATTCCTTTCACGGACCAAACTCTCGGTGTATATAATATATAATGAGCGTCTGAGTGAACCGAGGCTCCGATAAAAAAAAAGAGAGAGAGAGGGGGGGGGCAGTTTATCTTTGAGCCTCCAACCATGAAATTCATCCCACATATGGCTTGTAACGTATGCCTAGGGATACATTTTATGGACAGCGAAAAAAAAAGAGTAGAAAATGAAGACCTCTGTCAGGTTGGTTTGGGTACGTCTTTTGTCGCGTTTGCCGTCTGCCCAGTGTTTCTCATGCCCGAATAAAAAGCAAACTCGCCTCCTCTTCGCATTGACACAACACTGCCTTCCCGAGCGAACCTTTTGCCTTCGTCCACCAAATACTCCACTTTCGCCAGAAAAAAAAGAATCAATAGTGCAGCAACACTATCGCCCATCGCAAGCCACACGCTGACTTGTAAACCCTCGTTATCATCCATCCGTAATGTCGGGACGTCGGCATGAATGGTGGCCCGGACAGCAATCACGTCTACCTACGTTATCACAGCAGGCGCAATGACAAAGCCTGTTGTTTGACTTACGGCAGCCTGCTGCTGCCAGTTGAGGAGTGGAGAAAGAAGCAAGGACATATATAGCAGCCACGGTAAATCTTGCGCGCGAAGAAAAATAAAAAAGAAAACGGAAAGAAATACGACAAGGCACGGAGATGCGGGGCTGCCTCGAGGGAGGCATTACGCACCTTGACGAGGTAATGCGAGATTTCAGGAGAACATCGCACGGTAATAAAATGCACACGCGCCAACATGGTTAAGGTACTGTTACGCCCAGTTTGGAAGCGCCGGAAGTGTTCCGTATCAGCGCGAGTGCCTCGCCCAGTCAGTCCTTTTTCCCTATAGCGGTTTCGGTCAGCCCTCTTTCCTTAGAGTGGTTCCTTTTTTGCCACGTCATCAATGGCATCGATATCTTGCCGGTGTGCACTACGAGCAAAGGACGTCCCCTCGTTTTGACTCAGAACTATTATTGAACGTAGCGTGAGATACAGGTGGAAGCCACTGTGATTCATGTCATAATCTCAGGAGTTCTGCCACATAGTTTCCCACAAACACTCTAGAAGGAACTCTGGCGCTAGTGTGCTGCAACCCATGACGGTTCAGCGAGCATGGGAATGATGGGTAGTGCACGAATTTGTCTGATCTTTAGACTTTCGGCTCTATTTGGCTTCGCGTGGCTCGGAGCTGCGCTGTCACGAAATACAATCAGCGAATGTTTAGCACTGACGCTCCACAACCTAAACCTTTTAGACTCGACAGCTCAAATCTGCTCGCGAAGTTCCCAACGATCCGTTCTTGTATTCGAAACAAAACTAAGGAACTGCAATAAACGAAGCCACCAGAGCGTTCGAAGCCCTCAAGCACGAACACTAGACAAATCTATGTACTACCCATCATTCGCATAGTCGCTGAAGGATCGCAGTACCTCAGTCCCCTTTACTTAAATTCAGAAAATTTTTTGCCCTTTTCTTGATTTTTTTGGCACCAGCAGTTATGATTTTACATCTATAGCGTGGTTTCCCCCATGATGGGTGCTGATGTAAATGCTGCACACCCCCCTGCTTCATCATATCCCCCTTCAATCATCCTTTTACCAGAAGACCTGAGGGCCTAATAAATAGACAACTCTACTCGCGCAACGCCAGCACGCCATGCCTCCAACCACCTAATTGTGTAAAAATTATTAGAAACAAGAATAATAGAGTTTTCAACAGTATCTAACTCAAGTGTCAGCGCTAAAACACAAGAAGGCTTGCTTCCGTTTCCTATGAGTGTCGTAGACGGCAAATATGTTCATATTGAAATAAAATGTTGGTATGTGTTGTCGTAAGCTTGAAGTTTGAAAATGTGACAGTTCTTAAACGTGATGTCTCGATTCGGGTGAGTTTTAGTACAGGTAGAAGCATTCGCTCAGTAGTGTTTGATGTGAGCTACAGGCGTGTCTTTCGTTCCTTTATCTACAACGGTAAGATCAAGATCCCTCACACGCTTCAACAATGGTACTTATGAACTGTTAAGCCGGAAATATTACGGTTGCATTTTCACGATACACCATCTATTGGAACCAACTATAGGACGATCTCCTTAGCGTTTTTTATAGCTGCGAATTGGCTGTCTTTGGGAGTTATTCAAGAGATTCTGGCTTCTGCATTTTATCTTTATTTGCTCTGTTTGGAATATAGTAAGCACATACAATAATGTCTGTTGTGAAGCTTTGACGTGCATTAGTGGAGATGCCTCTTACATGCAGCTATATTTCTTTTGTTATACAGACGAGAGTGGCCCGAACGTGCCAGTGCGCCTGAGTGTACTGGAAGGAGAACCACGTCGTTTCCGTGCCCCATCGACACGGCGACCCGTGAACCAATCACAGCCGTGTGGTTCCATGTCACCACCCACGCCAACCAAGAATATGGCGGCTCTCCTCACTACACCAACGGCCATTTGCAGGCAAAGAAGGTGTACGCGATTGAAGCGCCACATGGGTCCTCTCCAACGGCGGCGGTGGGAGGAAGTACCGGCCTGGTGGACGGAGCGCACTGGAAGCAGCCATCTTGGTCGGGCAGGGCATTCTTCTCGTTGCTAAGTGACCCTCCCGCTTTGCGGCTCAACCGCTTGGAGCGCACCGACAGTGGAAGCTACGTGTGCAACGTCACTTACCGCGATAACGTCACTTCCGAGGTCATGGTGGTGACTGAGTCTCGCACAGACCTATTCGTAGCCGGTGAGTACCTTGTAGAAGCAGGATTCTTTGCTCCATTGTGACGAATTCGTACTTCACCGGTAGACTTAGAGCGGGCTTGCACGTCCCATTGGTCGTGTCGGAGCAGTTCGCCCCACTCCGAATTGTCCTCGCTTGTTCCGTGTCCAAGTCGTGGATGCGGGCAGAAATAAGGCAAACACCGTATGCCACTTCCGCAATATATGGGCAAAGCTTGGTTTCCGCTTTTTAGCAGCAACCAAGGTTACCATAGGAACGTACAGAGTGAAAGCATAAATAGTTTCCGGAACTAGTTTACTGACATGTTACGTTGTGTTAACATTTCATGTTATACTGACATATCTAGCTTTGTGCTATCCGCAGGCTTCCTCTGGGATAATGTTGACCACGATAGATTTTCCAGTGAAAAACGCCGCAAGTAGACAGTGATGAGCACCGACTGTTTTGCTCCTTCACATACTGTAGGTATTCGCGTACTCTCATACAAAATGCATTATATTAGCAAGAAAAATTCAACTGCCAATCACACAATTGCATATATATGCTGCATTCATTGAACACTCTCGTTGTCTTTCAGGTAATAAATCAGCTTCATATCATAATATCTCTTCGCAGTTTCTGGTAAATAACATCAGCATATTTCGCAGATATAGTATGAAGAGATGGATAAATAAGAAGAAGAAACAGAAGGGTTAACCTAGAAGAACTTGTATGCTCCCTTGTACAGGGGTGGGGAAATGAGGGTCGAAAAGAGGATAGAGATAGAGAAATATAAAATAACTGAGGAAAAAAATACACAAACTTTATGCAAAAGTGATGGGACTCCATTTTCAAATATGGAGTTCCACCCTTAGAGAAAAAGCTCACTACTTTGATTTGTAATGAGCAGCGGCTAATTACAGCTCAGTATTATTTAAGCAATATAATTTCCTGTAAAATACATCACTTTACGCATAAGGGTCTTTAGTAGCTAACAATCTCGGAATTAGCACATTCATGGCATCACAAATAGCGTCGATATAGTTTAGCAGAAGTAGGCTTAACATAACCTTCACTTGATGGTACTTCATATGTTCAACTACGCAGTCCTGCTTAGATAATGAATTCTACTTCAGCATTTTTTTCACGTCTTTCATTGCCTAATCTTATTCTAAACCAAGCCTTCGTGTTTCTTTCTCGTTTCTCTTGGATTATTTGAGGGAGCTAGAGACAGTAGCACTAAATAAACTTGATAGTCTGAATACGGTTACGATGTCTGGCTTACAAAGCATAGACAGGGCTTGTAGCCTTCAGCACCCTAAGAGAATGTAAATAGGCTAAATATAGAGTACCCCAAACATACTCAGGATAATTATAAATACTCGGGAAAGAATATTTTTATGCACCTATCCAATTTGTCTCCACTTGGTGAGTGCCTGCTTTGCTCTTTTTTTCCCAAAATCCTTGGTTAAATGTCTTTCACCGTACCGTCATGCCGATTCCAGAGTCTATGGAGAAATAAGCGATACTTGAGATCTGCTCCACCAGGTGCTCCAGGTGTTGTTTGATACACCGTACACATCTCGTCGTTCTGTTTGGAGTACATAAAGAAACGTAAACACGCACAGAGCTATGTTAGCCGTGTTTTTAGGCGATTCATTCATTAATTGGGCGATTTCTTCACGAAAGTTTTTTTTTTTAACGGCTATGCAGTGACGTGAACTAAACTTCAACGATGCTTCAACCTACTGCAATAGCAGTCAACGCTTTTCATCAATGGCTCGCTAGTTTCCTTCTTTTCACCTCTGCATTCGACACCACCAAATTCACCAAATGAGCAAAGGTTTGAAGGATGTCCTCACAACACACCTAATGAGCCAATACAAGTGCATGCTCCTGAGCTCACTACTTTACGAGCAGCTGGAGGGAAACGGTCACACAGGCGAAGCACTCGTAGTAATCAACATAACTTCTCTGCCATCAATAGTTTTATTTTTGCTGTTTACCTAAACATCTCCCGCCGTGAAAAAAAAGCTGACATTTAAACAAACTTCTGCTCCCACCGTAATTCTTTCTGAGGTCTACCAGTGGGTAGAATTGTTCGGCTATTGATAAAAAACGGTTCGAAAGATAAAACAGCGCTCTACTGAGTGGCATGGCACCAGAACCTAAACCTATAGCTATCGTACGCTCGCAAACAAACCTTTCTTTGCATGTTTCATGAGCACGTCACGTTAGCTTAGCTCATGCAGAGGTTTGTGTAAAGCACGCGATTCTTGTATCTCGGGAGTAAGCTCTTCATACATGATTAGTGTAATGGCTGTTGTGTAACTCGCTGTTTATAGGGAACGATTTACTAAGTGTATGAATGCACAATCTTCTGCTACTTGTAGTTTTTAATAACAATGTTTCAGCAAGCACACATTCACTTGCCGTCAGACATACATTTCAAGTATATCATAATAGACGAGTGGGTCTTTCCTTTAATACTGTCTGACCCCACACGTTACATCCAGTTTGGTATGATTTTATTCCGTTACAAGGATTCCATTTTACGCCATTTCATGCCATCCCACTTTGGTTTATTCTGTTCAGGCTGCGTGGATAAATTTGCTGACATGTTCGAATTGAAGACAGAACAAACTAAATGCCGACTGCAACAAAAGCAATTAAAAGCAAGATGATTCGGCCCCCGTACGCCTTCTTTCAATCATCATCATGTCTGTTCCCGACCAGACAGGTTTCCGTTCAACCATCGACGTCATCTTTGGATTGATAAGGAAATCAGCGGAGGTGTTTCTTCTGTATTTATTTTGCAGTGACACCTACTTCCTAGCATCTTACTCTCGATATTTTTATCCAGCACATGGTAACCAAACGGTCTGAGAATTTGTTAACCTGACTGTCTTTCCAATTAAGTTTTTTTTCTTCCTTCTCTTCCTTTACTCGCACGTAGACGAAAAAAAAATCGCTCTCTACGGCTCGCAGCTAGGGAAAAGGACATCCGTTAGAAACTTACGTTAGAACCTTACGATGTGCTTGCTTACGCTTGCTTGGTTTCATTCAACCTTTGAACAACGAGGATCATGAAGCGCTAATTTAGTCTACTATAAGCCGGATGGCCCGACCTCCTAAAGCTCCAAGTAAGTTCAGCGGAGTGGTCACCTTTGAGTATATGAATATTCGACGGACATTCACTGAGCATCCTATATTCCATCTACGAAAACTCTTTGCACCGTTGCTTATTATGCCGCAAAACTTACAGTTGACTAATGACCAAGTGAAACCTCATGGAAAACGAAATTGTTCAAAAGAGACGAATCGTAGCTGCAGCCAATCAGATTGTACTAAGTAGCACTATTGAAGAAGAGTAAAGGATCGAAGGGAGACATAAATAAAGCGCTGCTACCTGAATCTACATTTCAATCAATTTATAGTTCTAATGAGCAGTTACATTGTACGGTATTTCTGCCCATTTCAAGTTTTAAAGCATAAGAAAATCATTTTTGCAACTGATGTTTCTGGAAAACTTCGTCAATGGCCCGATTTAGTTGGACGTTGCTAAGTCTTACGGAATCAACTGTGGCTCAGCACAGATACGCCACTCTCGAAATGCCCTCTCCGGCTGCCAGAATTCTTGAATTATCTCCTCCGACTGATCACTTCATCACATTTCTCTGGGTCCCAGCGTACTGTGGACACCCAGGCACCACGGCCACTCACACCTAAGCCCGAGCACTCGTAAACCGGGCTCAAGTCAACCTGCCTTCACTTCGAGATGCCAGGGATTGCACTCAGCTACCACGATGTCACGCTCTTTTACCGAAATTCCGTCCTAACGTATACCCCACCAGATAAACATCTTTCCAGATATGACCAGATTTTGCGGCGTAAACTTCAAACGGCCAAAGTCAAGACCCCTTCGCTCCTCTCAATTTTTACACATGGCGAGACCTCTCCTGATTGCAACTTGTGTCCTAGCACCAGAGCCGACTTCAATCGCAAATTTCTTAATTGCCCGAAAAAACCCAAGCCCCCGTGACAAGGGTCAGAATATCAGAAGCAATGGGAGGCTGCTCTACGCAGCTCGTAACCGGGGTTACAGCACCGAAAAGTGAGCTGGGCCAGAGGGGTCACCGAAGCACTGAAGTGTATGGCCATCTAGAGCGGTCCGAGAGCCCGTCGTCATCCTGCTTCAACTTCCCTTCCCACCCCACCACTCAAATGATTCCTTCATGAATCAATTAAATTCCTTACCTCACCGTTATAAGAAAGCATGGTTGCTTTCGGGCTTTCGGTAGCATTAAAAGCTTTTCTTTTCTTGATTTGTTTCCCATATCTTTGACGTATTTACAATAAAATTGAAAAAAAAAATATCCTAATCAACAGCAAGGAAAGGAATTCTGTGTCACTTTCCCAACTCTCCGTTGGATGTGCCTAATTAAGCTGAAAAGCTCTCCAGTAGAGAGGACGATGGACGTAACTGCCGTATTCAAGAACCCTCTTTAAATTAAACAGCGCTCTTTTCTCAATCTGATCTACCTCATCTCTGGAAGTTCACTTCCAACTAACATCTTCTCGAACGATTCAAGAGCGCATCGGGTCTGAGCTGGCTTTGATGCCGATTTGTTAATGAGTGCTTTGAACTCACTATTTTTTTTTCTATAGTTCCTTTTATGGATGTGCTTCTGAATTCCGCTACATATTCAAAAATTATATTCGCTCCTTGCTTCTCTATGAAAAAAAAAGTTCTAAATTTATTCCCTTCAACAGCGCTATATAATACACTATTAATATTAATGCACGCTAAACCCCACATATCAATCAATCGCTATTATAATGCCTTTTGACAATCAAAGCGTAACTATAGGTGCGATATGTTTGTGTTCATTGGGCAGGTGAGAAAACGCTTTCAGCATTGCATGCATTAAAACGAGCCTTGTTTAATTGTGCTGCCGTGCCCTGGGCTGCTGTGTGAACTTTGCTTTGACATAGTGCATCTCGCCAAATTATTACTACTAGCC